ATGGTCTTGTTGTACATACAACAACGAACGGAAAAAATGAAGAGGAGCAAGGGGCCAGTTCTGGCCTAAGCATTTAGGCAGGTAGGCAGGACATACAATAAATACATTTTTTTTCCCGGGCCTTCTTCTAAATTTCCCAGGACATGACATGATTTGTCATACTGTCGCAGAATATTACATCCGTAACTCGCCGATAGGGAATGAAATTGACGAGCGAGACTTCATAGATCTTCATATGCAAGCCAGCCTGGTATGTACGTCATGCGTAGGTGGCTATATCTTTCTCATGGGCTTACGTCTAACCTTCACCGACGTACCTTTCTCATAATTCATTGCAGGGTACCTGACCGAAATTTCCGCATTAACTATAGGCCTTAACTATATATATGACAAGAAATTGTTACTCAAGCAACTGGACAGATTTTGAAAACTGTCAGACGTTTCAAGCAGCCTTCTTCAAAAATTTGTCTTACTTTTTGTCACCGACGTACCTTTCTCAATTCATTGCTGGGTACCTGACCAAAATTTCCGCATTAACTATATATTTGACAAGAAATTGTTGCGCAGACATGCAACTGGATAGGTTTTAAGTTTAACTGTCAGAAGTTTCAAGTAGCCTTCTTCAAAAGTTTGAATAACTTTTTTGTTTTGCTATGGACTGTCTAAAAATTGTCTTCAAATCCTTCACATATTACCTCATAGTTTTTTGATAAATATCTGTTAATTTACACTTTTTCAAAGTTAACTATCTAGTGACTGAACAGTGCAAATTCGTGATTCGCTGTCGTAATACCGACATGAATCGCCAGGTGGAGCTAGCCAGGCAGGCAGGTGAAGAAAACCTACCTGCTTCAACTTTGTACGACTTTCTTAGATCAATATTTTTCCATAGCAACCCATAATAGACAGGCATATCTTTTGAAATCCTACCGATAACATATCGATCGAAAATACAAAGACCAGAAATTAAACAGCTGTCTATCAGAATAAAGCAGCTAGAATTACTGTACTTCAGTTGATACCAATAGCAAATACCAGTATTTGGTTATCTAAAAGTATCTTACAAGATTACAACGGCAAGAATATGTGCTATTTTACTTAATATTGATCGAACATACCCGTATAAAGACCACAGGCAGCTGAATGTATATCATGATAAACAAGAGCTACCCGACTACACAGCTGATACCAAAGGTAGATATTTGACTAATAATTATACCTAAAAGTATCTTATAAGATAAAAACAACAAAAAAGATGTTGTTTTTATTGGTATTGATCAAACATACATAATCTATATAAAGACCGCAGGCAGCTGTATATCATAAGACCACAGGTAAATATTTATTTATCTAAAATTATCTTTAAGATTCAAACGGTATACTATTTCAATTGATATTGATCGAACATACACAGTATAAAGACCACACAGCTACACAGCTGATACCAAATGTAAATATTTGATTATCTAATCCTTTCAGCGTTTATAAAAGTCTTAAGACTCAATTTGGACCCTTTCCCGCCTGCCCGAGTTACTAAAGCCGGTCGGGCGGGGTCATGGGGCCGTTCGATCGGCGGTGAGTGGCGGAAAGTCCGGGTTTGTATCCGGGTTGTACGGGAGAGTGCACTGCCCCCGTATCGGCACGACTCTCAGTATAGCAACCACCGCTGTTTACGTTGGAATATGTCCATATAGTCGCATCTCTTGGATATTTTATCCATGAAGAAATAAAGGTGAGTGTTCTTTTTATAATCCAACCTGTAGACACCTGGTGACGGCACACTCAAGTTTTTTAAACTTATATTAATGCCGCCACCAACACAGGGGACAATGCAATACTCATTTTCACCTGAGCGTAGTGAGGAAAGTCGTGTAAAGTGCCTTTCCCAAGGGCACACGGTCGGTGGCATGGCAGGATTCGAACCCGGGACCTCTTGATTCCGAGTCTAGCACTCTGCCGCTCCGCCACACGACCCCACGGCACTGAGTGTTTGTTAGAATGTGTGTGTTTACAGTGTTTATTTGTCAACAGCAAAAAAAAATGAGATACTGGCAATTTACCAGGCAGACACATAGGAAAGTTACCATGAAACATGCAATAAACTGAAGTATGATTCCGTTAAAAAGAAAAATATTCTTAGAAAAATATATTCATGTGCTATTTCTAATTTTAAGCAAACCTGATTCAGAAAGCATAAATTGTTCTTGTGTGTAGTTCTGTCGGATAGAACAACCACATTATAATTCTTTGCCGTGGTTATTACGTAATCACCAGTAGTACTTTGATCTTATTGTTAATACTGACGTCATTGCTCGGCCTTGGTTTTTTGTGAGTTGGACTATCAATCAGTGTGGGCATGACAGTCCAACTCACAGAAAATCTTGTTAAAAGGTCCCGTTTCTTCCCCGACATGGTACTTACCATTAAGTATGCTTTAAGCTGTGCTCTAACATAGGATTTCATGTATTGATTATGTCAGTTGTATACCCTCTATTGATTCTATTAAGAGCGCCCCTTCAATTTGGCAGTGCAAATATCCTATTTTTAGTCCACTGGTGCGTTACACTATAACTCCCATACACACATGACATGACACTAGAGTACGGGCCTTATTAGCTCAGTAATTGTGATGCGTTTTCAACTCTCATACTCCTTCCCATGAATTTCTGGTGCCCATGTCCATTTCCGTAGCCCTTGGGCGACACACAGTTGTGCAAGTCATGATCACTACAACAGGGGGCTGGTCCGCTGGTAGTGCTGTGTGTTTGACCTTCCCACACTCTTTCTCAGTGCTGAGTGCTAAGCAGAGAAATAAGTGTGTACCATTTTTAAAGTCTTTGGTATGACCTGGCCGGGGTTTGAACTCACGACCTCCCGGTTACAAAGCGAGCACTCCACAAATTGAGCTATTGCACCGGTATAGCAGACAAAGCAGCATGCAAAGTTGGGCAGAAATATCGTTCCGCCATCCACTTATACCTACCTACATGTATAACAGACGCCACTTGACCGGGGTTTGTTTACAGTAAGTTCTGCGGTGCTTAGTGATGACGCAGGGTGTATACAGAGTGATTCGGGAATCCTATAGCTAACCGGATAGCGATGTTTACGGGGTTGCGGAGATCTGTTTTGACAGGGGATGATTTGTTTGAATTGAATGTCCGCCAAAACAACTTATGCCGACCTCCATATACACAGCATTGCTGTGAAGCCATTGACTGAAATGGGGCTAGGGCGGGGAACCATTTAAGTAGCTGAGGCAACTAAAGCCCCTGTCACACATTCAGAACCTTCCCCCGACCGCCAACCGATGTTGGGGTTAGCTAGGTTGGGAGCAGTCTTACCAGATTTAGGCTACGCCTACCTTTCTATAATTGAGTTAAATTTGAGTCAAATTTGACAGCCAACCACACTCTAACTACTGTTAACCTTCTGGCCCAACCACCAGCCAACCAGTCCCAAACTATAATTCCACCTACCTTCACTCCCGAATGTTTTAAACATTTTCAAACATGATCCTGCCAAATACATGAGTCCGACACTACTTGAGGGGTGTCCAATATACCTGAGACAAGGGGTGGGAGGGGTTTAGTCGTGATGTGGGAGACTAAACCTAACCTAACCCTAATCGTAAGTCTAACCCTAGCCCTGAACAATGATCCCAACTCTAACCCTACCCACCTGACCTCTCACGTATGTGGCAGCTCAAGGACACACTGTGATACGGAGTCCCTGTAGCCAACCATGCGTTGTACATCTGTCACTATCGATTTTTGATCACAGAGGTTATAATTTTGCAGTGGGACAACATATGTGTTCACACCCTCAGTTAAATGTACGCCAATGTGCTCTCGATGTCATTTCTAGACTCCAAATTTGTGAGCATCATCTGATATTATTGATTTGACCTGTTTTAACGTAATGTGCTAACGTAAACAATAGCCTGGGTTGTAACACTCCTGGCTAATCATTGGTTTACAGCAATTTTGTAAAGTTCTAGCTACATGCAGAAGTCCTGGTGGTGGAGAGAAGATGCCGGTGTACTCTTGTTTTCAATGAATGGAGGTTGTTGTCAGTGATCAGGCCGACCACGTTGTCTGGAAGACTGTTCCAGATGTGTACTGCAGTATGTATGAAAGTTCTGACGGTGGAGTGAGTTCTAGAGACCGGCACAGGATTGTGTATTGTTGGGGAAGCATCTGTTGACAATGACATATGATTTGTCTATATTGCAGAGACGGTGCCAACAAGGTTAATCCAGGGGTAGAGTGAACAACATCACTGCGTTCAGTCAACTTGAAAACTGGACTTCTAGGAAACTACGGATACATCAGCAGGCAAGTCTTTGCACAGGACTTCTTCAATATTTTCAATTTTCTAATATTTCTGACTAAACCTTTAGTTGTATGGTCTTTTCTTCATATACACAATTCTTCAAGAATTTATCTCAATAGGACTTGACTAGCAATTTTCAAATTGCTAGTCAAGTGCTATTGAGATTGTCCCTAGTCATTATGTATTTAAAAGTACATAATGACTAGGGACAACCCCTGCATGGTGTAGATAGGGATATATACATGTATATCTATATATATATATATAAAATGTATCCAATAATATTGAAAAAAGCTCACGATTCCCGTCCCATACCATCCACACACTATAGGTAGGTTAGCCATATAAAATTGTAGTATAACACTACTATGTACCAGTAGATGCCATACTTTGTACATGTACCTTGTACAACTGTTGTGCAATAAAGCTATTTATTACTATGGCTTCACCACACATATTGTGTTCTCTCATGTGTTTTCAGCCAAATGACCTGAAAGTTGACAGGGGGATAGAGTGGGCAAATACCCCCAGTCGTGTTTTTTTTCTTCATTTTTTGGATACAGGCTTTTACATTTTTTTTTTTGTTTTGTTTTTAGCGAATGTCTGTCGTTCTAGTTTCCTTATCATCTCTTGTATTCCGCTGGGTGTACCGACCATTTATATGGATGTCCTATGACCCTGTTTTTTTTTCTGTGAATCAGTTTGTAAGAATGAGCAGTCCGAGAGAGCGCATGTACAAAGTGGTGATGGTGGGAGACTCGGTAGTGGGGAAAACCAGCTTCATCCTCAGGGTCTGTAGAGACGAATTTAAACCAAACCTCAACCCGACAATAGGTAAGACAATTATTTACATGGATCGCACCCTTAGCTTACAAACCCTTCCCAAAGAAAATAGATAGAAGGAGTTACTGTATTAAAAAAATGCTATAAAATTGCAACATGATGTAATTCAACACTAGTTACCATGGGGAAAGACGTCAGGTTCAGGTCATTGACCTTATTTGTTTGAAGAAGAAATCAGATGCATGCGAGCTCTGAATGTTAATCTACCATGCATGTTCACAAAACCAATGGATACACAGGGTTCTTCTTCACTATTTATGTTTTACTCTGTTTCCTCATCTTCGTCTTTCTCTTCTACAAACAGATAAGGTCAATGACCTGACCCAGACGTCTGTCACCATGGTAACTAGTGTTGAGTTACATCATGTTTTAATTTTATAGCAGGAGGGATTTAGACTCATGTCACCATGTATGAATGTGTTTGAGTAAGAATTTACAGAGCAGACCATATTGGAAGGTAAACATTATGCATTTGCTTTGCAATTTCTAGTTGGCTAGTGACCCTATCCCCCTTCCAATCTAGTATCTGTTGCTCATAATTTGAAGTGAGCCCTGTTATCATTCTAAAACCTCCTCCAGGTGTGGACTCACAAGTTAAGACATTTGACGTGGACGGAGA